AGACCCCGCACAGCCCACCTGAGACCCTGAAGAGCCCACATGATAGTCTGCAGAGCCCACCAGAGACCCAGCACAGCCCACCCGAGACCCAACAGAGCCCACTTGAGATCGTGCAGAACCTACCTGAGACCACGCACATAACAACAGAGACCCCACACAGCCCACCTGAGACCCAACAGAGCCCACCTGAGATCACACACATACCAGAGACCCCACGCAGCCCACCTGAGAGTGACCCTGCAGAGCCCACCTGAGAGCCCACAGAGCCCACCTGAGACCCCGCAGAGCACACCTGAGACCACGCACAGCCGACCTGAGACTTCACAGAGCCTACCCGAGACCCAACAGAGCCCACTTGAGATCGTGCAGAACCTAACTGAGACCACGCACATAACAGAGACCCTTACACAGCCCACCTGTGAGTGACCCTGCAGAGCCCACCTGAGACGCCGCAGAGCCTACCACAGCCCCGCCATAGACCCCACAGAACCCACCTGAGACCCTGCAGAGCCCACCTGAGACTCAACAGAGTCCACCTGAGATCATGCACATACCAGAGACTCCACGCAGCCCACCTGAGAGTGACCCTGCAGAGCCCACCATAGACTCCACAGAGCCCACCCGAGACCCTGCAGAGCCCACCCGAGACCCTGCAGAGCCCACATGAGACCCTGCAGAGCCAACCTGAGACCCCGCACATACCAGATACCCTGTATAGCCCACCTGAGACCCCAACCAGCCCACCTGAGAGTGATCCTGCACAGTCCACCTGAGACTCTCAAAGGTGGGCTCTGCAGTATCTCAGGTGGGCTGGCCGGGGTCCCTTTCCCTGCACAAGCAGCTCCTCTTACTTCTCAGCCCCAAGCCACCCGCTGCTGGGCCCCCGGTCTCCTCCACCCCCGCAGCTGGACCGGTGCTTCTGGGCCACTGCCTTCTCCACCTCCACTAAAAGGTTATGTAAGGAGGTGTGGGGAGGGGTGGAGGAGCAGGGCCAGCACGGACAATAATAAGACACTCCCAGAAGAGGGCTATAATATACAAGGAGTGAGGGGGGGGTGTGCTATGGGAATTGACACTTCTGAGCCGACCTGCGACAGTCTCATTGTCACAGGTCGGCTAGAACTATGAGGTGAGTGGAAATCACTCACCTCATAGTTCTCCTTTAAGCATTTAAAATACCTAATTGTAATTCATTCAGCTGGTGACAGGGTCTCTTTAAGGACTTGCTGAGCTCATTTGGCCTCTTTTGACCGTTCTACAACCTGCAGAAGAGTTTTATAACATTTCTACCCATCTGATCATCATTGCTGTGTTGTCACAGAGTGTCCTTGTCCCAGGAAGGTGGAAAAAGAGAGCTGTGTCAACACGACACACAAAGCCCTAAAAGCGCGCTGTGTTTGCTGAGAAGTGACGGCGCTGACAGGGGTTGTGCCGGGATAATGACACACCTTATTTTAGATCCAGTGACATCATCACTTGGCCTCCATCCTTCTCTGTGCAATGCAGGCAGCTCCTGGCTGGTGGGAGGGGCCGGCAGGGTGCTGTACTCAGCTTCCTGTGTATTAAACAGACCCAAAGGGAGCAAGTAAGAGAAGTTCATTGTTGGGGTTTATGTACACTGTAATTGTTAAAGGAGAACTATGGGGTCAGGGCTTTTCCCCATAGTTCTCCTTAGGGTAACGGGAGGACACAAACTAGCGTCCTCCCGTCACCCTAGGCTCAGTATACCGCGAGATGTAGCTCGCGGTATACTGAGACGCCGCAGCCGGAGCGGATCCAGACATAATTGTCGGGATCCGTTTCAGCTGCGGCGTCTCAGTATAGAGGGAGCTGTAGCTCGCGGTATACTGAGACGCCGCAGCCGGAGCGGATCCAGACATAATTGTCGGGATCCGCTCCGGCTGCGGCGTCTCAGTATAGAGGGAGCTGTAGCTCGCGGTATACAGAGCTTAGGGTGATGGTAGGACGCTAGTTTGTGTCCTCCCGTTACCCTAAGGAGAACTATGGGGAAAAGCCCTGACCCCATAGTTCTCCTTTAATGATCGGTCCCCATAGCACTGTACGGGATCATTCACGTAGGCGGATCCGTGCGGCCGAACCGCCCCGGTGTGAACGGGGTCTTATCCAGGTTGCTCACATTCAATTCTTACATGTCGCAGCTGCCACCATGGCAGAGGATGACATCAGACATCATTGGTGACATCACACCATTTGGTAGTCCAGCCGCACTTCTTCCAGCCCCATGACAGCAGGTGTGTACCTCCCTATGGACCTGAGGCTGGGGCACTACACTGACCGAGCCTGCGCACTGCACCTGCAACACACTGATCCCGGCCGGGTGCAATGCTCTGCAGGCTTCAATACCAAAAATTAGAAATTCCCATCGACCGTGAGACCAGTGTTGCTGGATTTATCACTTACAAAAAGGGGACCTGAGCCTTTAAAATTAAATGAATACAAATTAAATGTATATTTAAAATACGGTATATCTCCAAATAAAGGGCGTGGCTTATACCGCCAGTGTCTATCGCTTTTTAGCAATTCTCCGGGGGTCTCGCAGTGAAGTTGCAGTTTGAATGACAGTTTGGAGAAAGCTGAGTGTGGCCGGCGACAGGAATGTGTAGCGGCGATGGAGTGATTCATAGTTTCACCACCGGCATGACTAATTGTGCCTAATTAAGCAGGTGACACATCGGATCCATGCGGGGAGCTGCGTGCCCAACGCTTACCTGATCCCCGCACAAATGACGTAACTGCAGAACGAGTTACTTTGTGGAAGGGAGGCTATTGGGGGCGTGCGGAATTCTTCGGCAGTTCATGACATAATCAAGGCAGGGCAATAGAACCGGTGCTGAATATACTGTCTATATACTGTATACACACATATATATATATATACTGTATATGTCGATGTATATTTGTATAATCCGGATTCATGACTGAAAAAAAGTTTGAGAGTTTGATTACAATTAAAATAAAAAAACGAAACACAAGATGTGTTTATGATGATTTGCAGTTCTTTGCTTTTGCCAAAAGAGACGTTTGGTCTAATGGTCAAAAAGCTAAATTGTTATCTTATCAGAACCTTTTTTCAGCTGACCTTCGAGTGTTTAATAAGTGCTAAACAATACCTGCTTGTCCGGCCTTCCTCAGCCAGGGTCCCCCTGCTAGGGGTCCTCCTGCTAGGGGTTCCCCTGCTAGGGGTTCCCCTGCTAGGGGTTCCCCTGCTAGGGGTCCTCCTGCTAGGGGTCCTCCTGCTAGGGGTTCTCCTGCTAGGGATCCTCCTGCTAGGGGTCCTCCTGCTAGGGATTCTTCTGCTAAGGGTTCTCCTTCTAGGTGTCCTCCTGCTAGGAATCTTCCTTCTAGGGGTTCTCCTGCTAGGTGTTTTCCTGCCAGGGTCCTCCTGCTAGGGATTCTCCTGGTAGGGGTTCTCCTGCTAGGGGTTCTCCTGCTAGAGATCTTCCTGCTAGGGGTTCTCCTGCTAGGGTTCTCCTACTAGGGGTTCTCCTGCTAGTGGTCCTCCTGCCAGGGATTCTCCTGCTAGGGGTTCTCCTGCTAAGGGTCCTCCTGCTAGAGGTCTTCCTGCTAGGGGTTCTCCTGCTAGGGGTCCTCCTCCTAAGGGTCCTCCTGCTAAGGGTCCTCCTGCTAGAGGTCTTCCTGCTAGGGGTCCTCCTGCTAGGGTCCTCCTCCCAGGGGTTCTCCTGCTAGGGGTTCTCCTGCTAAGGGTCCTCCTGCTAGGGGTTCTCCTGCAAAGGGTCCTCCTGCTAAAGGTCCTCCTGCTAGGGGTCATCCTGCTAAGGGTCCTTCTGCTAGAGGTCCTCCTTCCAGGGGTCCTCCTGCTAAGGGTCCTCTTGCAAGGGTCCTCCTGCTAAGGGTCCTCCTGCTAGGGGTCCTCCTGCTAAGGGTCCTCCTGCTAAGGGTCCTCCTGCTAAGGGTCCTCCTGCTAGGGTCCTCCTGCTAAAGGTCCTCCTGCTAGAGGTCCTCCATCCAGGGGTCCTCCTGCTAGAGGTCTTCCTACTAGGAGTCCTCCTGCAAGGGGTTCTCCTGCCGGGGTAGCCCCACTGCAAGGATACGTTTTTGGTTTGCCCGGAACTCTTCTTTAACAATAAATGTGATAAATGATATTTTTATTATGTAATGATAGACAGACAGATAGACAGACAGATAGATAGACAGATAGATAGATAGATAAAAGAGCACCAGTGGGTAGTATCTTGTGCT